GTGACCCCCACCCCCTGAATCGAGGCACCCCTCTTTTCATCTCTTCACCCCCCCCTTCCCCATCTATAGGGTAAGGAATCACTGTAGCTGTGGCTAGAGCGTGGTCCAGGCCTCAGTATTCTCATCTGTAGGCTGGGAAGCACTGCTACTATGGCCTTTCCGGCATGTACTGAGGTCTCACAGAGACTTCCTGAGGGCCTCACTGAGACGGCACAGGTGAAAGCAGTCATGGGGTTCTCAAGGCCGCTGAGAGGTCGGCGGCCCTGCTGACGTGTTCTTGCAGGTCAGGGAGGAACTGAGGGAGGAGAGTAGGCCTGGCACCTCCCAGGCATGATGTACCAGGAAACAGTCCCCAAACAGGGAGGAAGGGACCAGGACTCAGGAAGCTCCCAGGCCCTGGGCTCAGCTATCAGCTCAAGTGGGGGTGTGCAGATGATCGGAGTAGAATTACCTGGGTGGTAGGCAGCAATCTGAGGTGACTCATGGATCCTGGCTTGGATGGGTGGGGCCCGGGGGCGGACCCTCTGCGCTCTGACTCACCAGCATCACTGCCCTGAGCGGGCTGGGGTTTGGGGGGGCCACTCCACAGGCAGCCCTGCTGCTCACCTGCCAGCTCAGTACTCACCTGCAAGATGGGGAGAGAAGGTACCTGGCACACCACCCCAAATGTCATCGAGGCACCTGCATGGCGCGTGTTACATGCCAGGTACTATTCTGGGCCTTTTACCTGATGTGTGAAATTTTAAAATGTGTTTCTTTATTCATGATAGAGCATGTGCTTGCACATGTGAGAGGTACCCGTGACACCACGCGCCACGTAGTAAGTGTCTGATACACAGCGGCCATTGTTTCAGTGATTGCCTTGGTTGGGGTGTACTGACGTGCTGGGCCCTTTGTTGGTGCTTGGTTGTCGGGCACCTGATGTCAGGCACTGGGACACAGAGACAGAGCTGACCAGGGCCTGCCCTCGAGAAGCTCCCAATCTGACGGCGGAGCCAGTCACCTACAAACCTCACTCCCCACTGCCCAAACATACACACCACACACAGACAGTGACAGCCCAGGAAAACTGGGGTACCTTAGCGGCATTAGGGCGGTGAGTACCCAGACGCTCCTGACCCTGCCAGAAAGGGGAAGGTTCCTGGAAGAAGCAGCATCTGAAGTGAAACTGCAGGGCGAGTAGGAGCTTTGGCATATGGCGAGTTCTTAATAAATGCTGGTCACATGCAGTAAATATTTACCCTGGAGTGGGCCAGTTCTGCGGCCTGGTGATCCGGGCAGCCGGATCACACGTGGCCAACTGTGGTCCAACTCCCTGATCTGGTGGCTTTAGAAGCATGCTGGGCATGTGTGCCCAAAATCCCAAAAGGGAAAATGGAGATGCACTGCAGTGTGTGCTTTCTCCTCTCCCTCTTGTCTCTGGTAAGTGCAGGTGCCCTTTAGGAAAAAAAAAGAAAAATTAGCCTGGAGCGAATGTACTTAAAGCTTCAGGATCCTCCACTCGCCTGGCCTGGCCCAGTCCAGGGTTCTCAGAGAATACTGGCAATTTTGCATTGCTAGATTTGTATCTTGTTTGAAAGAGCCCTCCCCTTTATCAACTTCTGGATTCATTCCTGGTTCAATGAATGAGTAAGTGACAAGGGAGAAAGGTGAACAGCAGAGGGAACACCGCGTGATAGGGCCCTGTTTCAGTCTGTCGTGTTGCTAGTTACAGAAATACCTGAGTCTGGGCAATTCGAGAATAGAAGTTTATTTCACTTAGCTCACCCTTTTGAAGGTCCACGCTCAAAGGGCTGCCTCTGGGCAGGGTCTTCTTGGTGGTGGTGTCCCATGTAGTGCAAGGCTTCACGTGACAAGAACACGTGTGTCTGTCTGGTCTCTCTCTCCTTATTAAGTCACTAGGAGGGCCAGCCCATGGCCTGGTGGTTACATGAGCTAGATCCCACATGGCTGACTGCACAATTTGAGTCTCAGACCTGGAGACTTGAAAAATACCAAGGGATTGTGGCATGACCATTCCCCATGAGGGGTGCTTTCTTGCTTTCCATCTCTGTCACTCTGGACAGTTCATTGTCCCTCTGACAAATTTTTTAAAAGCCATGAGGGATCAGTCATGGGGACCCCCACCTTGCTAGCATTCTCCTAATCACCTCCCAAAGGCCCCATCTCTCAGTCCCATTGTCAGATTAAGTTTTCGCAGGTGCAAGGTCAGCTGCACCTGGATTGGGCCTTGCTGTAAGATGGCAGAGAGCGCTGGAGCAGGAAGGTCTGCGCAGAATCCGATCATGGGGGCCCCACCCTGATCCTAATCTCCTCCAGAAGGCCCCAACCTCCCAGTACCACAGTCAGACGAAGCTTCCACCCTCTTTTTTTTTTTTAGAGAGGTTTTTCCGCTATAGGGCGCGTGCGCTCGCCAGACAGACAGAGAGAGACATAGAGACAGAAAGCGAGAAATCACCCCCCGGGGGGATGGCCACTCCGCAATCCCTTCTCCTCCATTCTCCTCTTGGGATCTTGGGCACACACGCACACGCACCCGGCATGAGTTTTAAGCCACCGGGTCCAGGACACGAACCGCAGTCAACTATGTGGGAGTCCAGCAACATAGCCGTTACGCCAACTGCTGGTTCCCGAAACTTCCACCCTCTTGATTCTGTTACAACGGCAGTAAATTTCCAGCATATGAGCTTTTGGGGGGCCACACTCAAACCAGCCTCATCACACAGGACTCCTCCTTACACACACTGCTGATCTTCTCAGCAGCCTTGCCAGCTCCAACTTTGTCAGTGTACCCTGCTCACTTCCCTGCCTTCATGCTGCGCCCCCCAACTGATCCACCTCTCCACCACTTCATTGTGTTTAAATGACATAACTGTCAAGGCTCAGCTCTGTCCTCACCTCCTCCAAGAAGTCCCCCAGACGCTCCCACATCCAGATTCTTTATATTATAGTTGGTGGTCATTATTGCTATAGCCTGATTCTTGTACTTAATTACCTCTTTTATGCCTAAATATGAGGCTTCCAGAGATGGAACAATTCTTCCAAGTGAGCATCTGGCCTCTGCTTAGTAGGGGAGGAGGGGAACTCACGGCCATGCCAGGCAGTCTGTTTAGATTTAAGCAGTAATCCCCAAGCTTCTCCCACTTCCCACAAAGCACAACCTGCCTGCTCCCCACTCCCTGCGTGGGATCTGGTCCAAGTTCTTCCCACATGGCTGCTTCTGCAGGCCGGCCCCTCCTGTTTTCTCTTCTGACATCCTGGAGCTCAGAGTTGGTCCAGGGTAGCAGGAATCCCTCCCCCTCTGTCCCCTGCCTTTGTGAAGGGACAGCTCTAATGGCAGCCGTGTGTGCTCTGATGAGTCACGGTTAAGCGCATCTGGGGCCTGGAGGTGGCAGCTGGTTAACTCTTCAAGGGCCAGTGGTTCTCTCTGCCAAAGACCTCCTACCCTGAGCCTAGACACACACCCCAGTGCTAGGTGTGCAGTGGGTGCCTGGGGAGTGTGGGTGACCCTCATCACACCCACACAGGCACAGCGGAGGGGGACAATGGGGGCAGTTCAGGGCAGAGGGGAACAAGGGGTAAGAATCTAGAGCATGAGCTTTGGAGTCGGGAGGGCTGAGTCCCAGTCACAGGAACTCCGTGCCTCGGTCTCCCCATCGGTAAAAGTGCATTTATGGGGATTATTTGAGAAGGTGAGCGTGAACTGCCGGCTGGCAGTGAGTGCTAAACTGCTTTATTCCTCGCTCTCTGCTCTCCTGCAGACACTCAGCGGACAAGTGGGTGGGATTAGAACCCAAGCCTGGCCCTGGAGGCTGTCCCTCTATGCATGAATGCCCCCGCGAATGTGGGGGGACGGCAGACTCACGCGGGGCGGCTGAGGGGAGCTGCGAGGTCCAGGGAAAATCATTCTGGTCCCAAATAAGTGGAGATGGCTCAGAAGGAGAGCTCCTGTCCCTTCCCGGGTGGCACCCGCGCAGAGGCCACGCTGGCCTGGGCCCCCGCACACCTGCTGCACCCGGGGCTCCTACCTGTCTCGGCTGGGGGTGGGCGACTCCCCCTGCGCAAGCCCGGCGGAGGCAGACCCCGCCCCCAGCTCTGCCCCAGGCCGGGGGCGGCCGCGGGCAGGCATGGCCCCACTTCGCGGGTGGGCAGATCGAGGGCTCGAGGCCTGGCCCGGCCCCGCCGCCTTCCCCGCCCCCGGCG